AAGACACAAATTTGACTAACAAGTTATAAGTACATGAGTCCAAAAATTATGGAAAAGTAAAAGAAAAGATTCTTTCATTGTTTTACAAACACTCCCCCAGGTCCCCTCCACCATGCAGCCCTCCCTCTTAACTCACAGCGACCCCGTGAATAACAGATCTGCACTCTGCCCTGTGATGCCCCATCCTCATTGTTTCTGATGCACCCGAGTCCATCGTGACAGTCACTGTGTCAGTCTATCCTGTCGAAAGTCTTCCACTCCTTCTCTGACCCTCCGCCTCTCCCAACTTGCTATCTTTTTCCAAGGACTGGCCCCTCCGAACAGCATGCCCACAGTATGTGAGATGAAGTTTGCCCATCCTTGTCTCTAAGGAGCACTGACTGTGGATGCACTTCCTCTGGACAGATTTGTTGCCTTTAAGACTTTGTCTCCCCTTTTCAAAAGCACTTATTGGGCCTATCGTTAATGACCGTTAAGAAAAGGCAGAATAAAAGCAGTACTTTTGGGTGAAACAATGTCTTGTGTTGTTTTGCTTCAACTGGTGGTATGACAAGGTAAAAGGCAAAATAACTCTTTGCCAGGACCATAATTCAAGGCTGTCGATTCTTCAGTTTTCCTCATTCTTTGCCCACCTTTCAGCTATGTAGAAAGCGACTGGAAATGGCTTCAATCAGCTGTACTTTAGTTTTTAAACTGACACTGCTGCTGTTTAGTACTCTGGAGAGGTATCTGATAGTAGATTTTCCCAATGCAACATGACGTTTGATTTCTTGAATGCTGATACTCTGGGTATTGATTGTGGTTCAAAGGAAAATTGAATCCTGGACAACTTCAGTATTTCTCCATGTATTATTATGTTGTCTATTAGTACAGTGGTGAGGATTTATATTTTCTTCATGTGGAGATGGAATCCATATTGAACACTGTAGTCTTTGATCGTCTGCAGTAAGTGTTGCAAGTTTTCTTCACTTTCAGCAAGTAAAGCGAAGTCATCTGCATAACGCAGGCTACTGGTAAGTCTTCCTCCAATCCTGATGTCCTGTTCTTCTTCATACAGCCTGGCTTATAAATAATCATGCCAAATAATCATGTGACTCAAGTTCGTTTTTAAAATACTTAGATGCTTTCTCCTTATAGGACAAAAATAATGTTAAAACTATTTAACTCAAAGTTCGTTTTGATGCTTCTGATGAATCAACTACTTAGTCATTCACTATAGCCAATGAAGGAAGTGTAGTCTCTAATTCAAAGCACTCAGGATTTCACTATGTTGTCAGAGCACCATAGAAAATGACTTAAAATAATGAAACTGGTCTGTAATGTATCGTTGGGACAATGACTGAACGAAATTTTAAATATCTGTGTGGTAAAATGAGTTCCTTTTTCACCTTTTGGAATAATAGTTTGAGAAATTTTTTGCCTTAAACCTTGAGGAATTATTTTTGCCTGCATTTCCCAACCCTTTCTAACAGAAAGGTCTGTTACTTTTGCCAGGTGGATTGACGTTTTTCTGGGTACTCTGCAAACAATTTGGTTTTGATAATTTTTGTCTGGATCTGGACTGCAGTTGGCCACGTGACTGCAATGTACTGTGCAGGTAACAGTCAACATTATTATGTGCCATCCAGTTGACGATAATTCACAGCAACCCTCGGAACAACAAACTGGACCCTTGCCCAACCCTGAACTACACTCAGGATCTCGCACGTGCTGTCTGTGTTCATCTATCTCATTGAGGGTCTTCCTCTCTTTCTCTGACCCTCCCACCTTCCCAGCATGACGTCGTCTTCCAAGGACTAGCTCCTTCTGACAGCAGGCACACAGTATGTGAGATGAAGTTTCCCCACCCTTGCCTCTGAGGAGCACACTGGCTGCCCTTTTTCTAGGACAGACTTTCCTGGAAAGCTTGTTCTTTTGCCATCGAAAACATATCCAATAGTCTTCACCACCACTATAATTCAAAGGCATTCTTTCTTTATATAATAAGTCATTATTATTCACTGACTAACTTTCAGACACATAGGAAACAACTGAAAAGACCGTTGACTCAGGTGCCCCTTAGTCTTTAAACTGACATCTTTGCTCCTTACTTTAGATAGGTCTTTAACAGCAGCTTGTCCCAATGCACCAAGTCTTTTTGATTTCTTGGCTGCTGCTTTCATGGATGTTGACTGTGGATCCAAGTAAAATAAATTTTTGACAACTTCTCCAATCTCTTTTCCATCTATTGTGTTGTCTATTAGTTCAGTGGTGAGAGGGCTTTTGTTTTCTTGATGTTGAGATGCAATCCCTGTTGAAGGCTATAGTCTTTCATTTTCTGCAGCAAATGTTTCAATTCTTCTTCACTTTGAACAAGCAAGATTGTGTTACCTGCATAATGCAGGTTGTTGAATAGTCTTCCTCCAATCCTGATGCCACATTCTTCATAGAGTCTCTCTTCTCAAATGATTTGCTCAGCACAGCCTGAATAGGTATGGAGAAAGATAACAGCCCTGATGCCCACTTTTCCTCATTTTAAACAATGCGGTGTTCCCTTGTTCTGTTTGGACAACAGCTTCTTGATCTAAGTATAGACTTTGCATGAACACAATTAAGTGTTCTGGGATTCCTATTCTTCTCAGTGTTAGCTATAATTTGTCATGATTCACATAGTCAAATGCCTTCGAATAGTCACAAAATCACATATGAACTTAAACAATACAAACTAGGCAAGTTGTGGCCTACTATGCTAATAAAGCCTTTGTGGCCTACAGCAAGGGGACTAGTCAGTTCAGCTTGTGGCCTGGTGAAAATGTCATGCCTTGAAATTGACAGTTTGTGTGTTTAAGCAGCTAGTCCACCGAAATTTTCTCAGGCAGGAAGATTTTCAGGGGGAAAAAAAGGAAAAGGGAGAGTAGAAGCAAAGAATCCCCTAAAAAAGCTGTAAATACAAGTCAGGGACGGTAACACAGAAGGTGTCAAAGCATTGGTGACAGATGTCAGAGCAAGACGCCTCTTTTGAAAGGATCATGTGGAGGCCTGTCCTGCCAAAAGGAGCTGAGAGATCAGTCTTGCACTGAAGGGGAAAACTTTGCCGGTATACTTTCTGATCCAGACTGTAGTCTATTCCTCGATAAATCACTTAACTGTAAGTACGGAGCTCTGGTAGCCTAGTGCTTAAGATAATGAGCTGCAATTTCAAAGGTGCCCAGTTCAAAACCATCAGCTTCTCTGCGAGGAAACAATGGGCAATCTCCTCCTGTATGATGTACTACCTTGAATACATGCTGGAGGGTCAGATAGACTTAGTTTTGACTGGATGGCTGTAGAGTTTATCTTCCAGTATGACTTTATTAGCCATTAACTTGCCTTTGTCATGTTGGTGGGTGACAACATATAAATAGGGCATATTAGCCTATCCACAAGGGGACTGGGTAGTCTCAACAATCCACAAGGGGATTGGCTAGTCTTGCCATTAAATTGAGTGGACTGAGCAGCAGAAAGAAGAAACCTCACTGCCAGGAGAAGAGCAAGAAAGAGGGCTGACAGGACCAATAGCCACGCAGGAGACCAGAGACCTGAGGTGAGACAAGACCTTGGGACTGCTACACCACTGGCACCAGAGCTAACAGTCTCTGCCCAAGTCTGTTGGCTATCTAGGGATGGGGGCTATAATTTTCAGGACTGAGAACTTTGAACAGTGCCCTAAAGCCACAAGGCTCAAGACTGAGGTGCCTGCGAGCACATCGACAGTATTCTGCTACTAAACCGGATTGTATAACTTTTGACTTCCACAATACGGTTCTGTGTAGTCTGCGAGCCATCACATCAGATTTCGGATGCAGCAAAGCAGTGAATCTGGTGTTGAGATGAGTGAAAAGAGGTAAGAAACATGGGAGACATGTCTGACTTCATGGAAATTGGGTTTGTGTCATTAATACCGTTGATGGGGACAGTTCCCCTTCGTAAAGTTGCTAAAGGTCAGATATGACTATCCACACATGTCCCTTGCTCTTTTTACAATGGTATATAACAACAATTGTAAATAAAGTCTTTTGAATTGTGTATGGCCATTGAAATAGATTACTGAACACAGAAGGAAAGTAGAGTGCCACAGGAGGGACATATATAAGCTAGTATATTAGGTATAAGCTAGTATAACAAATAGGTTAAAAAAGTTGGCAAACATTCCACTTCACAGAGATAAGCCTTGGGGTGACCTTGATTCATATCATACTCACTAAAGTCAAACAGGTTCTGATGCTACCACTGGTATTATTCCTGTTTAGCATTAGGCTTTGTTAGCTACAGTATCCATACATATAAAATACTATTAACATCACTGAATTGCTAAAGAAAAGATGAACTTTTCAGACATGACTTTGCTCTCAAATTTCAATGATTCAACAGGAACACTGCCTGAGCTATAGTACAGTCAATAAGGAATTTACAAAGCACTAAAGATGAAGCGTTACATCAACCACAGAGATCTACACGGATTTGCCCTGCACAAACTGCATCATGGTAACTATATAAAACCTCATTCACAGAATGTTTACATTTGCATTTCTTAAAAAAATGACTACATACCTTCATTTTGAAGACTGGCTGGAATTCTTTCAGAGCAAGTAACAATTTAATCTGAACAGAAGCTCTTTCAGCTTCTTTACCATCGGCAAAAACATCAAAGAGGGCATCCAGAGCTTCTCCTGCTACTACAAGGGAGGGATCTTTGGTGGCAACCTCAAGCAGAAAGCACCCAATGGTCTGGAGACAACAAAACACATTATTATAGTCCAATATTCTAAGGGAAGTCTACAATGGAAGTTATTTTAAATGAAGTACGAAAGGTTATTTTGCAAATAACAAATTCCCTCCCACATCCCCTTCAGAAGATTATTTCCCTGTGACGTCAAAATGTAAAGAAGTTTTATGTATTACAGTAATCAAACCCCAAACACCCTAATTTTTAAATATGCAAAAAATAATCTCAAATTTAAAAAAAATTAAAGAACAAAACACAGCTCATTTTGCTTGGACAAATGTAAATACAACCTGGGTAGCAGACATAGTAGATCCATTAGTAAATTACTTATGCCAGGTATAATAAGTGCAGGTATGTAAAAAACTGTCCCTCTATAACAGAGTTCTGGTGGTGCACTGAATTGGCGCAGTGAGCCTGTCTGTTTCTGGTGGTTTAAATCGACGGGCAATTCTGAGGCAGACATACACACGGGGAAGCTCCATCTCTTTATGATTTACAGGCTCAGAAACACAGGCGATGGCCACTACGAGTCGGAGCCAACTCAGTGCTTGTGGACATGATGGGTCTCACCAACCAACAGCAGAGCCCTACCATGAAGTCTTGTGAACCTGCCAATGTTTTGGGCTGTATCATCTGACTACAGTAAAAACAATTTCAAAATTAGGTCATCATTAGAAGGTTTTCAGCAGGTTGAAAAGTACCTTATAATTATCAGTATATTAGCCACTCACAAACACCACTTAATTATCTGCACAATAAAGCGTAACTGTACTCTTTTTTTTAAGGCACATGTGATGCTATACTTGTAGCAGTGATGGCAAATGCACCGAGATGAAGTGCTGAAAGGAAATACATGGACTGGATGTCTTAACTAAGTGGCACTAGTGCAGCTTAAAATGTATAGCATCATACTAGAATAACTACGCGGTGTCAATGGTGTTGGTTTAAGTATGCTTTAACCTAGCCTGTAAAGAAAAGTGGCTGGTTTGTGTCTTCTTCATCAGGAGGAAAACATAGCATATACATTTTTCTTTTTTTTATGTTGAGAAAAACTTGTATGAATAATTAGCCAGCTGGACTTAGCTTAGATGATCTCAATTTTGTTGGCAACATCCATAGCGCAACAATGAATGAATGGAAATCC